AACCACAGGCGTGTAACTTTTCCTCGGATCAGCTGATTTCCTCATTTTCCACTTCATACATGTACTTACGATTTGCCATTGAAAACTGAAATACATTGTACAGTGTCTTGTAAAGATTGGAATTTCCTTGTTTCTTAAAGTCCTACTTGTATACCTGATCCCAGACTCACTAGAACAGACAAAAATCCCTGTCATCTCTATTTCCTTGTGAAAATTTGAGCATATCCAATTTCAAATCTTACTCAATAAAGCGCACTATTTTCTGGAAATTGAAACACAAAGGAAATTGACCAATTTGACTTTGAAAAATTACACACTCTGTAAGTAACTTATATGTAAGTTTGAAAGAAAATTCGTTTTCAATTTCAAATGTGTTATACATTGTTGAGATCTTCATAGTTATTTAGGAGGCACACTTGGAGACAAAGTATTTTGGGGTGGGGGGATGGATGATGACTCAAACATCTTGATAGCCACCCAAGTTGCTACTCTCCTTCATGACAAGATGCCATTTCATATTTTGTGTATAATCTGATATTGACAGCAGCAAGCATTCTGACATGTTCCGGTACTAATCGTACCAGTCGACCAAGCCCAACAGGGTTGAGTCTCCATCTGCAGTAACACATGCAGTGCTTGAATCACACCCTTAGTTTTACACGCCCAGATCTTAGTCTAGTCTCTATCACCTGGGCTGAGAACTTTTATATGTGAATTAATGAAGGCTGCAGTTAATGACGACCAGATGGCAGACTCGTCTCCCCTCCCCCCCCTCCCCCCCGTCAGATGATGCTCATCGGATTTCCAGTACCGGTACTTACTTGTATTTCCTCGGGTCTGGTTTTGTCACAGGAAGTTCGGTTGACTTTCTCTTCAAAGTGTAAAAGATTCCTCCCGTTATCTTTCATTGGACTCACCTTCAAATGTCTCAGAAATGTCTCCCTATTAATGCCCCATAGGATCAGTTGCACTTTAGTCATTGCTTTTGGGGTTTCCATTCAATTAAACCCAGCCTTCCCAAATCTTCCACTTTTAATGAAAATTCACATATGCCTCGGGGAGTTATGATTAGTCTTCATTTTAACTATGTCACATACATGCACGTTACGTTTGAGTTTAGGTGCCCTAATTTGACTGACAAAGCAAATTGGATATCACAAAGCCTCAACCCAAATGCACCACTTTAGATAGACAACGTTTCCTTGTAAAAACATAACCCCATTAAAGCCCATTTTGTATCCATGGAGAAATCAACATTGATTTCCACTGGATCGTGTAGACTTCAACAAGCAAGAGACTTGTCAAGCTTCCCCCCTCTAACTCAACAAAACAACCCCTCCCAAAGCTGTACCCTTCACTTGAACTTTATTTACTGATACAGTTTTCAACATTCCAGAATTTTTTTCAAGATAATGCACGCCAACTGAGTAGACCTTGAAAGAACCTGTGGGGGGGGGTCCTTCTCACAAAGCCCCGTTTTCAAGCTATCGCAGTGAACATTCTTCCCCTCATATTTAGCCAATCTGCCCCTTCACTCCCTGAGCCCCCTTTATGAAAAATTACAGCAATTGTTGGATGTCGCAGGAGGCTGGACCCTCTATTCCTGTACGTAATCTGACCATAAGTGAATTAGTCATCTAATATCCTGAACCGGGGTAGGAATTATCACGAGTTGGGGGGGAGGGGATGGATTCTTTCCCGGCTCTACTGATGAAACTGAAACTAGTTATCTGAAGACACTGTTGCCATACGCTCCTCATTAAGCAGTCTTAAAAGACAACAGCAAAAATGGTTTCGTGGGAGGTGCTGTTCTCATAAAATTCACGGGTACCACCGGCAGCTTAGGTGCTTGGGTTACACGTACCGTAGACTGATGAAATGTGGTGATCACTTGGGCTCGGAGCTATGTTGTCTCTCAGCAAGTGATGCCATCCTGGAAGTTGTAGAAGACATTTGTTCTCCAGAGGTAGAACCTCGGAGTAATACCTCAACTCTCCGGCACATCTTTTGTTGTTGCTGTAAGAGTAGGATACATGTATTTTTAGCAGTCGCTGCTGCTGGAGTTCATTGTTGAATGAGTTAGCCTTCCGACACAGTTTTTCTGGCTGAGGTACCAGACTGTGAAAACTCTCAATGGAATAAACCAGCAGATGGTGGTTACTGCATGAGGTAACACCATTGAAACGAAGGATATTTGCAGTCTTGCTGACTGAATAACAACATTGACGTTACTCCTTCTCTGAGCCTTGTTTCTAGTGGGTCATCCAACGGAGTAGAGTACATGTAGAGAGAAACTGATCCTGTTTTCCAGAAACACCGTGTTGGGAATATCGTAAGCTGTAAACCAGATCACACCAGAGACTGCTCAGATTTGAGGCCAAGAACCTGCTGAAAAGTATTTCATTACAGTTATCGAGATAATTCAACAATTGTATGTTTACACTCTCGCAAGTCAAGGAAGGACAGTGCTTCATGTATGAGTGGTTTCTGTTGCAGATGCATCAAGCCAAACCTTCTGCCGAGAATTTCCTAGTATCAGTTTCATACTTTACAAAGAATATTTGATGAGGTCTGAACGGTATGATCAAATTGTAGTGATTTCTGATCAGTGCTTCAGTTATAAAAGTGACTCTTGGCCATCGGCCAGAAGACCAAGTGAGCAGGACTTTTTGGAGAAATGAGCTCATTGTTTCACTGAATCTTTTGTGAGTTAGGATCCTAAGCAACCTATGCTCCATGTGGGATTGGATGAATTCAGCACCAGCAGGAGTCCACAGTGATTAGCGTGAAAGGAAGGAACATGCACAGAAGGCCAAGTTGATTGTAGGGGGCCGTCAACTACAGTATTTCATTAACAGGAATGCATCTCCATGCAGATCAGGCCTTTCAAATAAGCTCCACCGTTCAATTCTGCAACCTCATTGCTGTTGAAGAAGCTTTGCGAGTTTGTGTACAAATACCCAAAAGTGCTTAACTTGTAGAGGTCCCTGTACTTGTGAAAATTTTGACGTGCAAAACTTGTGTTGGATACTGTTCCGGAATGCGCAGATCAGTGGAACCTTTGAAGTTTGCTCTCACTGCAGAAACCAACTGATAAAAACACTACACGTACTTATACATTCTTCCGGAACCGCAAGGAAAAAAAAACACTTTAATGGTCATCTGCATTCAGTATCTTCTGAAGGACTGAAATTGAAGAGCTTAAGAATACCTGCATCTCCTTTGAGGTTTCAAAACCCAAGAAGTGTTGATTGTTGATCATCAAATCCAAATAGTTACCAACCATGAGTCGGTTCACGTACTCGCGATATTCTGGTCTGCGGGGTGACCCAGTCAAACTGAGGGTGTTATTTTTTGAGGTAAGGGTCGTTCCTTTCCGTTGTTTCTGAGGGAGATGCTCCTAACAGGTTGCATTCAAGAACAGCTCCTGAGGTTTTTCTTTTATAAGAAAATTGTGAAAACGTCCTTTTTTTTAGACTTAACAGTATATTTACAGACCAATGTTTCATATAAAAATTTACATTTGTTCCCTAACATCCAACTCGGAAAGAAATTACCATTACCGTAAGGGGAAGTTGGCAAAACAGGCAGTTATTTACATTGATGAACTGTCTTTTCATTTATTTGCTGTCTGGTTTGAGAACGTGATTGTTCTCCTTGAACGTTGAAGGATTTACTACATATATTGCTGCAGGAAATTTTAACCCTCTGGGTGGGTTGAACATTGAGTCAGAGTTAAATTACCAAGAAATATTGCAAATCCAGTGGTGATATTACTCTCATTCAACAAGTTTCTGTCTGTGGTTGTAACATTGCTGGTGTAATGTCATGTGGGATATCTGTGATAAGGATGAGCGATATAGGAAGACCACATTCAATAAGCTGAATTTTGATAACGGGAGTGACTGTGTCTCTGAATCCTTGATTCATTGTCTCTGAAATTTGCTGAATCCATCGGAAACGTAGAGTTGTATTCTTGTTAATCTCAAAATCAAATCAAGTACCTGTAAACATCACGAGTGATCACGTAACAAGGAATAAGGGGTTTGTCCAAATTTTATAACTTGTGACTTGAGATTGGATGACTTGCAATGATCTGATAATAGCTGTGGAACAGGTCTTTCAAGAATTTTGGTGATTTTTGTGAAACCAGTTACTTATTCCTTCTGTAGACCAAGGAGAAGAAGGAGAGAGAGGAACAGGAAGCAGTCATTGAGAAGCTGCGTACCCAGGTCAAGACCATGGAGCAGACCCAGGCAGAATCCGTCTCCCTCAGCAAGAGGCTAGCTGACCTGGAGCGGGAGAACGCCAAGCTACGGCAGGAGCTAGACCAGACCATCCTGGAGAAAAACGAACTCCACGATGAGATGGGCAGAGTCCTACAGGAGCACAAAGAGGTGAGTCATGGTGGGGGATGAACTAGTCAGCTGATCTGGCTGCCCAATGGTGGGGGATGAACTAGTCAGCTGATCTGGCTGTCCAATGGTAAGGGTTAAATTGGCAGCTGATCTGGCTGCCCAATGGTGGGGGTGAACTAGTCAGCTGCTCTGGCTGCCCAATGGTGGGGGTGAACTAGTCAGCTGATCTGGCTGCCCAATGGTGGGGGTGAACTAGTCAGCTGATCTGGCTGCCCAATGGTGGGGGTGAACTAGTCAGCTGATCTGGCTGCCCAATGGGGAATGGAGTTTTTGGTTAGGAGCAGTGTGTCAGATGATTGCAAACCTTGGATAGCCCCACTGTTGTCACTGACCAGGATTTAAAGAAGACGTGTAGAGGATGAAAAAAAGTACCAGCGAAAGGTAGCTTTTCAACCATAAACAGAGTTGTAGTGGTGGACTGCAGTTTGGCCTTGGATGGAGCTTGATCAGAAAACCATTATCATTTGCTGCCTCATTTGGACATGTCAAAATGCCGAAATGCATAAGAAGGAGCAAACCTCGTTCTTTTAATCGGTTTTGTAATATGTATCACAGATGTTTGTTCCTGTGCCTAAATTAAGCAGACAAAATGCATTAGTCATAAATATTACAGGACAATCACAAATTTAGCACCAGGAACATATTTCAAACTGTAGTACATTTACCTGTGTAAATCTATTGTGTTTGTACTCAAAGTCATGATTATTTATATGTCTCGAGACACTGCACTTTATTATTTTACTACTTACACTGTTCTGAAAAGTCAACATGTAAAATATAAGATGTATTGTTTCTTGAATTTCATGATACGGATTACTTTGGCTTCTCCTATGCGCTTGAATCACCTCTTGAGTGATTTGCACATCCCCAAGTTTTCCTGCACCAACAAAAAGACCACAACTTCTTCTCAGTAGTTCTTAGCAATCCATTCCTTTGAGCATCAGAGAGGCAACTACCCTCTTTATCTGATCTTTCCTGTCTTCCTCAGGGAATAATCTTTCACAGTTTTTTCTATGGCAGCTGTTTTGTACCAAGAAATAATAAATGTGTTAAATAGTAATAGAACAGCTCGGAGTAGGTCTTTTACTCTTTCAAAATGGTTAAAGCTAAAATTGAAAAGTCACTGTCTGTACATTGAATATGCCAAGTGATCAGAGATTGTTAGTAGAAAGTTTTAATAAAGTGGAGATCTTTTGGGGAGATCAGAGCACGGTCTTAATCATAATACTGTCATTGAAGCCTCATTATATCAATTGTAGGATTGTCCCACAAATTACCTCTCTTTCCGAAGCAAAACTGAAAAATTGGCCTTTAAAAACTGTGTGTCAGGCAGGAACCTGCTGGCTAAAAGCAGGGACATCCCTGGGGCAGAAACATTGGTTTTGAGATTAAAGAGAGTGGATATGATTCATTCAACTTCTTGTCCCAGACAAGTCTCTTATGGGGAAATAGGGAAAAAAGTCTGTCTTAACTATATCAAGGATCATGATTATCCAGTATGGTTGAGGGAGATTTCACAAGTTTGCATACAGTTTTTGTGCTGGGTTTTATTTGGTTGTATTCTCATATGGCCAAACAGTTTGAAACCTAGTGAAATGTGAGCATGATCAATTAAATTCACCTCAGTCTGTTAAAATCAGACTAGTCAACTTTTTTTAGCTAGCTACTTGTACTTGTGCATTCAGAACAGACAAGTAGTATGCATGTTTTAGTTGAAACTAATCCTTCTCATTTATTCCTTTTTTCACACCTTTGTGACGTTTTAAATGGCAGTATATTCATTATCCTTGAAATTTAGCGGACACGCAGGGATGCTTATATTTTCCAAGACTTCTCAAAATTTAAGTTCCCCACTCGCTTAATTCATGTCATTTTTGCTATGCTGTCTTTCCTTTCAACTAGTGATTCTATCAGCTTCAAGTTTGAGTTTAAAGTTCATCTTTAGTTAGTGTTTCTGTTTGCTGTGTAGTGACTGGTGTCAAGGAAAGTTGAGCTGGTTATTCTTGCTTTCCAAGCTAATCCAATTTAACCTCATAACTTGAGCAACTCAGCCTGACAAACTCAACCTTGCTCAGCCCAGCCTCCCCCAAACCTATCCAACTCTACCCAACCCTACCCCACCCAGTGCAACCCAATCCAACCCTACCCTACCCTACCCAACCTAGCCCTACCCAGTCCAACCCTACCCAATCCAACCCAACCCAACCCAATCCAACCCTACCCTACCCTACCTAACCTAGCCCTACCCGGTCCAACCCTACCCGGTCCAACCCTACCCAATCCAACCCAACCCAATCCCACAAATTCATCCCAATGTGACTCCACCTACACAAGATAGCCCATGTTGATCATAACAAAACCTGTGAAACCTTAACCCCGTGTGCATTCCAACCTAACATGAACCCACTATACCTATCAGCCACCCACGTCTGACTTCTTTGCACCAAGCACAACCCAATTCTACCCATCCCTACCCAGTTGCAATCACCCTATCTCCGATCAACTTCTCACATCCTGCTATTTTGTGTCCAGCACAAGCCAACCCACCCACCCCACCAACCTCACGTAACCCGTTGCCACCCTATCAGTTGCCTGCATCCCAATGCTTTGCACCCAGCACAACCCAACCCAACCCACTGCAGTGGAGGACTGCAATCACCTCACTCCCACTATCCTCTGTAACCCTGTTCCTACACTTTCCCATTGTCATGATGGGCTTATTAACCCACTTGATGTTGTTGATTCCTTTTTGGCAGGCTGTCAAACAATTTCTCAAGGTAAATATACCTTCTGCATGGTAAACAGAGAAGGAGAAATTACATCATACCGCAGATGCATCATGGGAGTTATGTTTTTTATGTCATGATTGATGTTCATCACGATACAAAGGCTTCATCACAAGAATGCAGGTTGCTTTTTTGTCACCAAGAGGCATCCATTTTTGCTGCTGCTGCGGAATGCACTGCTTTTTTTTTTTTGGCATTTATTTCAGGTTGGCTGGAGGCTGCTCTTCACCACAGCTTAGTTTAGAATGGATGAGTTGGAGGTTGCTCTCATATTTGGCTGATTTTCTTCCTTAGTTTGCTTTGCGTTGAGGCAGTTTTATTTAGGGATGTCTTGCGGTTGAACGATTTGAGACTTTTTTCAGATTCAATGGCCAGTGTACTTAATATGCCTGCGTGAAATCAGCCATCCTGCTAACTTGTTAGAGCCTACCGGTACTGATTCTCTATAGTTGATTGCTACAAGCTTCACAAGTGATGCCGAGAATGGAATTGTGATCTTGATAACAACAGAATTAATTAATGAGCAGAATCCTACTGGGACACTGAGACCTGTTGCTTTGCAGTTTTCATGCTCACTTTCAACTTTTTTAAGCTAAAGTTTGGTACTGTAGAGTGAAGTGGGTCGATTATCAGTTGGGTTTGCACTGGCATGTGGGGGGGAGGACTTGGCTTAGAATTGACCTCACCTGATTCAGAATGTGTCAGACCAGACACTGCCCATGGGTTAGAACCCAGGCTGTGACTAGAAATTACTGCTGCGTAGTCCCAGGTTACCGAGAGACGTGATAAGTTCTTGATAAGTTCGTAATTGGTCCCTCTCTAATTGGTTAAGCTGCAGGAAATGGACCAATTAACTGATTGATTGACTGTTGCATTATGGGACAGCAACCGTGTCCTAAAAACTTGTGGCCTGGGGCCGCTGCATGATCAGAGAAGTGGTTGAAGTTTTTGTTTGTGAAAACTGAACAACTTGCAACCTGGGGTAAAAAATACCATTGTTAATATAACCACATGTGTGTGTCAACTTGGGTAGGTAAAAACAAAGAGACAGAAAGAAAAAACATACATGTACTTGTTCATGGTTGAAGGAATCACCGTTTTCCTGCTGTCATCCCAAGTTAGATTTGAAACAAATGCACACGTGCAAACTTGCAGCCTCACTGATAGGGGAAAAAAATGCAGTAAACTTTCCTGCCAATTAGCATAAGTCACAGTGTGTGCAGGGTGTGCCATCCATGTGCTCGTAAGAAAACTAGCATGCGTCATGCACCCAACGTTCTAGGTGGGGGCAAACCAAGTGTCCTACTTCATGTTTGAACTTGTCACCTTTTAGCAATATGCTGAACACGACAGATTTATTTGGGTTATGTGAGCTCCAAAGGTGACTCGACTCTAAATATGGAACGATTCATTTTAAAAAGTGTGTCATTAATTCTTTTGCAATATAGCACCATTAGGAAACAAGGAAACCATGGCTGTATATGTACATTTAGTGACTCCTTGCAACTTTCCAGGTTTATAGTGACTAGGCCAGTTATAGAGGGTTGCATTTGGCAAAGAATAATACCCCCAAGCATATGTCTGTGTTCATGCTCAGCAAACAAAAGCATAACATCAGTTTGCAGCAGAGCATATACTAGTAAGTAAAGAATATCCCTGCTTCCAGATGCTTAGTGAAAAATGTAAAGTTAACCGTAAAATGATCATGCTATCGCTTGTTAAGATGCCTTTAAAAAGTAGAAATAAAACTTCAGCTTTACCTGTGTTAAATTCCTAACTCCAATGTAGTGATATGATGTAAGAAGTGCCGTGCCAGCAAAGTTTGATAAGAGTGCCTCACACATTGTTTGAAATATTCTTCTTGGCCAGACCCACATCTTTGTACCGTAATTTGCCACTTTCTTGCTAGGTAACCCGTCATTGGGTAACTTATTCTTAACTCCAATTTTCTGACCAATGATGTTTGTAGCTTATAATCATATACATAGAGAGCCCTGACGAGCCACTGCTTAATTGACCACAGACTGGACATGAGTTGAGTTGTCGAGTTTTCATTCATCTTAGTTCTCATCCTTGAGCCTCCCTTGAGCAGGAGTCTGGAATGAGAAAGTGCACTATTTTACTTCTCGTTACCATAGCGATGCCACAGTCAGGTCAAATGCAAATGACAGCAAGTCGCCGATCTAGCTTTACTTCTCATTTCTGGCTGGCCACATTTTCATTTCTGGGCTGCTTTGGCATTGTCTTTTTACGTCTTGCTTTCAGTGGCATGTCAGCATGGTTCATTTATGAAGATTTCCTTTTTTCATTTCACTGATTTGAATTGGAATGTAGAGATACAGGAACATGGATTAGACAAATTCAACTTGCAATTGTAGAAAAGGGGCTAAAAGTTGATAAAAATCTTATGCATGTAATGTGCAGATCTGAATAATGGTCGCATCAAGCATCAACTGTGGATTGAAATGATTAGCAACGGTGTAAGAAACTGAAATGATGAAAATCAAGATGATTCCTCAGTGCTTTCTTTCATTCATTCATTCATTCATTCATTCATTCATTCATTCATTCATTCATTCATTCATTCATTATGGTTTATTAAAACATGAATGGCAGCCATTAGGCTGAATTGAACATGTTTTTACAAGTTAAAAACCATTAACATATTACAAAATAATTACAAAGAATTAAACCTCAAATCGTAAAACACAAATATTGATATTAAGAAAAATTAAGTGTCATTTAAAATTTTTATCATAGAAGGTATTGCGCTATTTTGAAATAGCTTGAATGGAATAGCTGTTCTGAAGTGGTATCTCTTCTTCTGAATAATTCAGCTAAATTTATAGTTTCTTGAATAACAAAAGGAGTGCAGAATACTGTGATTTGTTTAAGTCCAAAATTTGGGTTTGTTTTATAATTGGTTTCATAGGCATTTAAATATTTATTTAAAATTTTACACATTGTTCAAGCTGTTAACTTCCTGCAAATGTCGTATGAAATGTTCAAAACTAAAAGTACTGCTACTGTTGACATATCCAGAGAATCTCCTACATGTAGTGCACTAGCAACTTTCTCAATATCAAGCCCACAGAGTTCTTAGTTTCTGTCTTGTAATTTACACTGCAGTTCAGGCTTCCTGTCCTTGCTTTGTGGGTATTTTGCCTGGGAAATTACACACCGCCATCCTGTCTGTGAACTCTTTCCTTCTCCCTTTTTCCTATTTTTTTCTCTCTCCGTGATGAACTTTACTGTAGAAAATAGTAACTTGCCTTAGTCTGAGTCACCCGCATAGAGCGACTATCTGAAATCACCGTGTGGGAGATTTGAGCACTTCACATGAAAGACTTGCACCACACTGGTTGGCTAATAGTCTTGCTTTAATGCACTGAGGGAAATTAACATAATTTTAGTATTCCCCGACATCATTTCATATCTTTATTAGGAAGCTTTCAGGAATGTTCCAAAGGCATATGATATAAAATATTTGTAGGAATGTACAGTGCAACAGTGAAAACAAAATACTGTGCATTGTTCAGCGGAGATACAGGGCTGGAGGATTTTATTTACTGTAAAGGGAATTTTTAACGGAAGAATAAAGGCCGTTCTCGATAGCTTGAAAAATTTCCCTTATTAGTGCTTTGGTTATAAAATCAAATCACAACACATTCCTCAGTTTTTTCTTGCTTCATGTTTTGGTTAGATGTTTACCTCTCCAGCTCTAAAATCATGGGTCACATTTCCAGAAGGACACCTAACCAGAAGTCTTGTTTATTTTATCTCTGTCGTTGTTGGTACAGGAGAAAGACAAACAAGAAGCCGAAAGCGAAAAGTTGAGGAAAGACCTGCAAGAGAAGGAGAATCAGTTCAAGGAGTTGGAAGAGAGCTCAGAAGGTAGGCAGTGGACAGAGGAGAAACTGTCCTGCCACAGGTCAGGTTACACCCAGATTATTAACGTCATTTACGTTTAGGAAAGTTCTCATGAACTTTCATTGATGAGTTTGCCAGATTTCACAACCAGTCATAACACCCAGTTTGTTGAAGAGGCATTTAAAGCATGTGTACCACCTGCCTGTGAGCATCCTACCATTCCAGTAATGGTGTCTTATTCTGGTTGCCTGATTAGTCTATTGTGAAGACTCCCAAGCCTTCTATCCTCGGGGCAGTTCCATGGGGATCCAGTAAGGCCATGCCCCTCCCCCTTCAAAATATCTTTTGAAAAATAATGAAAAGGCCATTTCATTCCCTTTCCTTCCAAAAGCATGTAAAAGGCCCCAGATGTTTCCTCATCCCTGAGGAAGGCCAAAGAAATTACATGAAAGATCTTCCAATCCCCCCCTTGGTTCCGGATTCACCCTTTGATATCCTCATTCTCTTGTCAGAGCGCATCAAGCGGGAGGTTGAAGCCGCTCTGGAGGAGGTCCGTAAGGAGCTAGCTGAGGAGAAGGAACGGCACCAGAGGCTTCTCCAAGACTACTCACGAATGGAGCAACGATGCGACAACCTTAAAGAGGACCTGGAGGCGGCCCAGCATCCACCCCAGTATGCGCATCACGTACGGACAGACAGTAGCGAGGGAGGGGAGTCAGGGTATGGGACCCTGTCTACTAATCGAGTTGAGGACGTGGAAAGTGTGGAGGATGAGATACAGGTAATGTGGGCAGATTTGGGACAAAAAGGTCCAAGCTGTAACTTCCATCATCAAAAGGATAAAATGTTTAAAATAATACATATAAAATAGAATCATTGACAGAGGTCAGTTTCGTTTGGGGGGAGTCATTAACAAATCTATTCTGAACTGTGAAATTTTTCTGAAATACCAAGTTTATCTGTTTAGTGATATCACATTTTTAAAGAACTTGTTGAGAAAAAAATGTCTTTTGGATAAATGCATCTGTCAGATTTCTACTTTGTGATCTGAATATTCTTGCTTAAATAGTCACATTTTCAGTGCAGTTTGATTTCAGGTTTGGTTTATGAATTAGTCGGGTTAATTATAACAGTCGTACGGGATGCAGATGCAGAATTTGTAAGATCTAAAATGTGGTCCGTTGATTGTTCAGCAAAAGTCTTGTGGAGAAGCATGGCCGTGCCTTGCACTGAGTGTCAAATGATATAAATTCTTAAATTTAGAAAGAGTAACCCTCAGTGAACCTAGCACCGACAAGAAAAAAGGAACCCCAAGGACAGGAAGAATGCAATTAAGAAATGCTCCGTTTTAGAAACAAGAAGGCAACCCACAGAATATTCAGGGACAGGTCCACATGATGAGGAAGGGACTTGGTAATGTGATACACATGTTGGCTTGAGCAGGATCTGAAATCTTGTCAGCAGGATGGATGTAGAGATAAATGGAATGAGGGAATCAGTCGTTAGCACCTGCGTCTGGACTTGATTAGAAAAAAAAATGATTGAAATGGGCTGGGCAGACTGAACACGGAAAGATGGACAGGTAGCAAGTCTTGCATTGCCAAGACCTTTTTTCAAAGCTTGGCGTTATCTCCTATTATATCCAGCTTAAACTTTGTCTGGGACCTTTGAACCATAAGCAGATGTCATGCTGTGGCCTTATGAAAGACTCATCATTGGCTTCACATTGCATAGCCTGGATCAACTTACATTGAGTCCCAAGTGCCCCTGTCAAGGATCTAAAATCATAAACTGAGTAGCTTTAAGTCAGGGAAGGTGATGAGGCCAATTTGTGAGAAAAGGTACTTGCCTGAAATGAAACCAACGATCTCAAAGTGCTTAACAATTATTACCCCTGTTCATCAGGTCAGATCATTTGGCACAAGTACGGTACATGTACCCATTTAAAGTCTGGACGGAACAGGACAAGGAGGAGTAACTTGACTTGCCCAAGATCAAAACTGTCTCTAGTCATCGGATTCTGAATGAAACCCTAACGTTATGATCAAATTTGGGTTGGGTTTGTTTGCTCTCAATGGACCAAGCATTTGATGAAGTCTGGCTTTGTTTCAGGAGCAGGGTCAGGAAAAGGCCAGTATGGACATGAACGTCTTCCTCAAGCTGCAGCAAAGGGTGCGAGACCTGGAGAAGGAGAAGCGACAGTTCCAGCTCAAGTTGGAGAAGAGCCAGTCAGACTCCAGGACGCGGACCAGCACCATTGAGGGGGACCTGGATGCATCGAATGCTGAGGTAAGTCAGTGGTGACTGTTGACAGGAACAGAAACCAGCGGAACAGAAACCAGTAAAAATGGTCGATGCTTTCAATCCTAGTAGAATCTTTCTCAAAGATTTTGCCAGAATCAAAACATCAGGCCCTCTAACTTATTATTTGTATTTTTTATATCATTGTTGCCAGTAAACTGTTGAAGCATTTTTTTTCATTTTACATTTCTGAAAGCATGAGGGGATTGCACTGTCAGAGTTGTTTGATTTTGGGGTTCAGTTTGTTGATCCTGCTGATGTTTTGAAGGACTGTTACTTCTGAAAAAGAAAATATGGTCTTGACAAGCAGAAATCAGTGTTCCGTGGTATCCAAACCAAAACCAGCCAAGTCAAATAGAGATTTGACTGGTGCACAGGACAGGCAGTCAGATGGCTAGATGCAAGCTAATAGCTCAGTGCTGTGTCTCAACTCAGTGGAAGAGTTTGTAACATTGCACTGGAATTTTGGAATATTTGTCATCAGTAGTTATAGATGGTTTTGTGGCAGGAAAGGGGCAAAACTTCAAATTTAAAATTTTGTACAGTTCAGAAGTTTTATAAAATAGTTACTGCTTAAAAGAAAAACGTAGATTTTGTATGTTGCCTTGAACTGTATATTTCTAGCCTGAATAAGAAAGCAGTAAATTTGTCTCACGATAGTAAAGTTAATTTGTTGACTAAAATGAAGCTGTGGTTGGAATTAGTTATTGCTTTGATGCAGAGTATAAATAGAACACAATATTGGCAGGCTTGCAGCTGTCATGTTTTGCTCAGAAGCACAGGAATTCTTCAGATTTTTAGCTGTTTTGCACTTGTCTTGTTCTGATGCCTTGTGTTTCAACTGTCTTTGGCCTTTCACCATTCAGATTTTATTTGGATAGTGTTTAAACTTCTTGTCTTCTGTATTTCAGTTGGTTGCTTACAAGGACGAGAACATGGCACTCAAACAGGACTTGGAGAATCTCCGGGACGCTGTCAAAAGTAGCTCACCTGAAGATGATATCTTGACGGTGCTGACCAGCCAGGTGGCGGCATTGGGTGATGAGAACCACAAACATAGACAGGAGATACTCAGGTGTGTAGAGCGCCCTCTTTCATTCATGCACGGAGCCTGTAGTTGGTACCTCATATCGGATGTTTCCCCATGTTTCTATTCTGCAGTGTACACTATGACAAAAAAAAATCATTTTATGAAAACAGAAGTTGCAAAAGAGGCTAAGAATAGAAAGTTTTGAGGTTGACAGATTCATGGAATGAAATAATAGTGCTGAACTTTCAGTTTTGATTATGAATCTAGTTTGCATTTCTGTTGTGTATTAACAGATTGTTATAAGAGATCAGGAATGGTTTTCACAGCTTGGCTCTGAAGGCCTCCCTCTCTGTGTTTGCCCACAATACATGAAACTAATCTTCTTTATGTATATTGCCATCCTGAATTACTTAGTTATTCAGCAGTCTTGTTATATGTAATGTCATAAACATATGCATTTTTTAATTTTGGATTTTTGCCCTACCCGATCTGTATTACAACACTGTATACTCGGTATTTGCCCCCGAAGGCTTGTGAAAAAACCACAAGCGTACTCGGGTGGGACTCGAACCCACGGCCTCAAGCTTACTAGTGCAGACGTCTTAACCACTCAACCACCGAGGTTGCCAGTGTCGGCTGGCTGGTTCAAGTCAGATGTAGCAGCAGGTACGGCGAACAATTATTTCCAAGGGCAGGGCAAAAATCCGAAATTAATTAACATCTCCCCAGTGCAAAGCCATGCTTAGAAATCTGCATTATTTGTGTACGGTTGTCATCGGTTGTTGCCGGATATTTTGCTTTACCTCAATCCCATCTTTTAGGTTACAAAGTAAATGTTTGTGTCTCACTTGATGTGTGTAAATGCCTCCATTTACTTTTTTCTTTTGATAAAAACAAATTGTACTTATTTCTGCTGACCGTCAAACTTGTTGGATGAATGTACATATTGGTGAATGGTAGAAAATTTGAAAAAGATGAAAAACTAAAGTCTCAAAATCACTGTAATGTGAAGGCATATACCTTAAAAAGATGTCCTTATAAAATATTATAAGGACAGCTGATTGGGTGACTGTCATGAATTATCCTGCAGGTTAAAGACAGAACTGACCAATCAGCAACGCCGATGGGAGAACCGATACAATGGGGAGGATTCTCCCGATGGTGGTGTCAGCAAGGAGAAAGAACATTTCATCGAGGAAGAGATTACTTCGCTCAAGGATGACGGAAACATAGAAGTGGCCTACAAATCTCTGAAGATGACAAACCAGTAAGTACAACTTGCCCATGTGATTTAGCACACGATTAAAATCAGCATTGAGACATACAGGGAATTCTTTCTTCTGCTCGGGCTAAATTTATAGCCCATTTGGGCTCTGTGTTGAGATATCCCTGATTGGTAAAAACATAAATCATCCTTGTCATTGCGAGACATTGCCCGGTATGCAGTAGTTCCTCCATGTGTACTCAGGCAATAGTACATGGAAACCAGTTAGATCAATAACAGGTCCAATTAGTTTCTAGAGAGACTCAGAATTTGTCTGTCTCACTTTGCTCCCATTAACTGAATATGTGCCTTCAATGATATACATGTACATCAACTCCCTCATGTTAACAAATGGCAAGTGCATGTGAACCAGTGATATCAAAGTACCCTACAGTTGTTTTTATTTTCTATGAAAGTAAATCTAAGAATGCAATGGAAAGAGCGCCCCAGTTTGTCCATGTATGGAATTCAAAGTTACATGTACATTCGTTTTTAAAGTTAAGGTGACTCATTTAGCCTTCCATTTAGCCTTTTTGGGGGGTGGGGTATTAAAGAGGTGTTTTCCTTTGCGTTTTTGCATGGTATATTTGCACATACGAAGCCCAACGTGGTTCCCTTTCCAACTAACGTAGCTGCAGATAGTTTACTGTAGATGTAACAACTTCACCAGATTGGCCAAACCACGCTTCAGTTGTTGTGCAGGATTACCCGTGTGACTGATTGGATTGGATGTAATAATACGCTTACTTAACAATACGTTTGTTTTATGCACCTCCATATATGTCATTACATGTGTACCCTACATGCCCTGCTGGGTTGTACTAGTGTAGAATGATGGGTGTTGAGTTTGTTGTCACTTGTGTGGTTTGTAGAAGCGGCGTGTAAAAAATGACAACCTCTGAAAGAGCTTGTGCTGCCGTGTGTGCCCTGCTTGCTGACAAACAGATTTTGTCGTGGTCTTTTATATTTACCGGTGTTATATGTTCGTTTTGATCTGCGTTGGCTCCGGTGGCGTAACTGGGAAACATTTTGCAGGGGGAGGAGAAACTTGGGGAGGGGTCTCATTTCTGGAGGGGGCAAGCAGTGGGTTCAGTCATAGATGAAACACTGACCAAGATGGGCTATCACAAGATTCTTTCCTTCGCCGATTTCGGGGGCAGGGACAAAGGACTCAAGCGGGGACCCATGTCCCCCATGCTCCCCTTAGTTATGCCACTGGTTGGCCCAGCAGGTGACAGCTGTTCCTGCCATTTCTAATGGTATAGGGAAGAAATGCCAACTCTGTTCCTGAAACTTCAGATTATTTTTCAATTGCCAACAAGATCAGAAGCATTACGTTTGACACTGATATTCATAATTTGCGAAGTTGGGACACAGTCTCCTATTTTTAATAGAATGCTGCGTCCTTAGGACTCTGTCTGTTCCAAGCAAGAGGAGAGAGGGCGTGGTCCTTGGGTGGGAACTCATTGTTTGTATGTGCAGGTTTATGGGTGTTTGGTACTACATGTACATGTCCGAGCACTCACAACCAATTTATGTTATGTTGGGACGTAAAAAGTTGAAATACTTCCCACTAGATTGTCTTTTCTTTGCAGTTCATGCAATGGGTTTTCTCTCGAGCGGGCAAAATAGAAAAACCAATAAATCAACCCGCAATATCTGTCATTGGTCAGTCAGCCTGGACAATCAATGTCCAACATTTGTGCCAAAGATTACAGCATCAGTTCAACCTGGAACACAACCCCCTCTCGACTGATATCCAAAGTGAGGCCTGTCTTCATACATGTATACCTATCAACATTTTAGTTATTGATTTCACTTTTTCTTCAAAGTTGTTTGTATTGGTAGTGTCATTTCATGGGAGATTTGTTCTGGATTCATTCTTAGCTTACACGTACATTGTTCCTGAGTGAGTGTTCTTTTTTTACATGCAGTCCTCGTTTTTTGTACCAGCTCTTGTTTCCTGAGAGTAATGTACTGAAAATTAATGGTTTACACAGACTAGGATGTGCTGGCATTGTGTTTTGCCGTGTGTTGATCACATTGTGACCCAGCCTAAGAAAGTCAGCCACAAGGTGCTAGAGCTACTTCAGAAGTGGAAGCAGTTCAAAGATTCTTGCACAAAGTAAATGAAGGATTGCTCCAACTTGTTCAGCCACATACATGTAATGCCCATTTTTATGGAGACACCAAATCGGTGATATCTCAAAATAAATAGCTCAGTCTCTTCTTCTTTAATATTGCAAACTTCACTAAAAATTAGCTGAAAATGTGGCCTTCAGACTCATTTGGTGAGATCGGGTCACATATTGTGGAGGTCAAGATGAAGCCAGAATTTGACAAGAAGTCCAGATTTGAGAGAAAAGGCCTTACTTTCAACCTCAGTATGTTCTTTGTGTTGCCTGGCCCCAGGCCTTATAATTGAATATGTTTTAACCTGCAAGCAATTGTGAATCTGCTCTGGTTCTCTAGTGGAAGGTTGCATATAGCGCCCTCAGTAGTGAGTGCATTGAGCATATAGCCAGTTACCCCAGGCTCACTTTTAATCAATGTAGTTGCCCCAAAACAATTAATTACTCCCCTGTTAACTCCTCCACATTAATGAAGTGTGGGTGTTCAGAGTAAAATCTAACCCTAACAATAATTAATCTGCCATTACATGAAGGATTAAGGATTGTTACGGGTAACATTAGACATCGGACACATGCACGTGCACTGTAGAGGTAACCGCTGTTAATATTGGTTAACATCAGGTGGCTAACAATATGAGATTTGACTGAAACTGCTTGCCAGTTGCTCGTGCTGCAAAATGATATTGATGAATATCTAAGTCTCAGTTATCATTTTGGACATGAGTATGGCAGTACAAATGTTGGACCACGAAGTAATTAAAAAGGATCAACAGTGACTCTGGTTTGTAAAACTACATTTACTGTCAAAAATACTAAGAAAAAAGGTCATTAGTAGGTGTGTTCCAGTGAATAAGCATTGATATTAATTTCAAAGACTGGAGAAAATTAAGCCAAGAACTAAACTTACACCTTCAGTCAGTGAGAAGTCAGATGGTAGAGCGATAAAGATGCTTGTAAGCCAAAGCAGAAAGGGCGAGGTTTGATTTTTGAGAAGTGCATAAAGTGATTTGTTGTAAACCACAAGCACTAGGCATGCAGCATTAAAAACAAGCAGTTAGTCATAATTACTCATGTTGGTTACTAAATAATTTTAATTGTTTTTTTGAAAAGTGAGTCTGTATAAGAGAAAGATTCCTACTTTTACAGAGTAATTTCCCTTGATTTCCCATGTTGATTTTTTTTTTCAGTTCCATTTACATGCTCTGTATATTTCACACCAGATCCAACCAATCACAAGCTTGCATGTCAAACACTCAGACCCCTTTCCACCCATCCAGAGACCATACCCTTGTCCAATTGTTGACCCACGGTTCTTGTTATTATTTTTCTTCCCCTCCTTTTTTTCCTTTCCCTCCTCTTGTTCTTTGTTGCCGACCATTCTGTATAATCTCCACCTCCTCCCAGTCTGTTTGCTGCCCTCAATGCCAGCCAGACTAGCTTGCGCGACACAGTCTCAAAGTACGGCAGTCTGGCCGAAAATCACAATGACCTGCTGGTAGGCAAAATGTGAGTAAAATCCACCCCTCTCCCTTCCGAATGCCTGTCTGGTTTTCTATAGTCTTTTAATGCATCAAGAATGTGGTAGGGGTTATTTCTTATGTACAGTTCTTAGTCCAGTCGCTGAATGTGCGTAGTTTTGGGTGTCATTCATAAAATTGTAGATTGAAAAGCACAGCATCATTTCATTCATAGTCACAACATTTTCTGATTTGTACGGGAAGAATTAATGAGTTCAACTGTGGATTTCCTCTGATAGCATAGTCACAGAATTTGTTTATTTCCACTTGGTGTATTTCTATTCTAGAGATGGGAAAGCTTAATCACATCAAAATAACCATCAAAAATCAGTGGCTTGGAATGTCATTACCCCGACAGTTCTGTTGTTGATACATGAAAGTTCTTTTATCTAGAACTGTGCTTTCAGCCCAAATATTCACCCAAATTGTTGACGGGCTAGATCTGACATCTGTAGCCATGAACTTTCATGTATGGGACGTGATTGTGTAATGGCATTCCTGATTATCCCAGGTTTGCTCGCACGTTGCTTCAACCACGCATTTAGCACGACGAATTAACATCTTCACTAATCATGCATCTTGGCTTCGTCACTTACCAAATAATTGGTCAAAGTGTGAATGAGCAGCTGTCAAACATGTAGGATACTAAAGTATTTTTACAGCATCTTCTCAAAACTCCTCTTCATTTTAGAATCAGTCACAAGTAAATGGAATCCAATTTACAAGTTTTACGTTGTGTTTGCCCAACTTTTCTGTACCTTCCTCTTTTGTTGTTAAGCCCCACCCCTGTTCATTTTTTTATCCAGAACCACTCCCCACTTTGTGAGTTATCTCAAGGCTAATCACCTGAATCTTGGTCTGATAATGTTCTATCTTGAGGCAAAACATTTGCTGTCTTCTTAGATTTCTGTAATTACTAATAATTTGAATGATTAAGTACTTTGAATATTATATGAATAATTATTACTTCCTGAAATGAAAACACGCTGTTCATTGCAACTAATATTAGTTTTAATCAACTGGTCTTTTTGGTCCTAATTGGGTCGTACATTTCTGCATGATAAATGCATGAAAAGTGACAAAGGATTGAGGTACTTCTCGTTTTGCCTTGGAGATTTTGTGCATTAAGAATTTCATTTTTCCACAGTTCATGTGCAGTGGAATATATACATAGACTGTAGTTTTGTCTCGGATCATTTGCATACATTTGCATATCATTCGCATGTCAGGCCACAGGTTCCCTGCTTGCCATACTAGTGCTTTTTTTTTCAATCGTTTCATTAAACATGTAAATGTTTCATTGTCAATTATGCAGATGACATTTAGTATTCATAACAGTAGCTACTAGCTAGGCTGACTGACCAAAGATAGGTGCTTGGACTAAACACAATGCATGCTGCATTCCTACTGAGCAAGATTTCCCAGCCCCTTGTATCTTGACTCTGCATTTTGCTTTCAATTCCTCTGAATTAACACTTTTCCCCTTTTGTCAGAACTTACGAACGTATATATGTACATCTAGTGTACATGAACATACATGTAGGACCTTTTGAAACATGCCTATAGGAGGTTAATGGATGTTTTAATCCGTACCATAATAGCTGCATGATTTGCTGCATGTTTTGAAAGGGATAATTCTAATTACTTTTGGTTTTAATTATTTGTGACCACATTCAAAACTACCTTTCAAAAGACCTAGATGTTTGATCGTTCCAACTTTTTAAGATATGTACACGTATCTGTTTCATGTGTAGGTAATATGTATTGGTGTGTTATTTGTTCATACTGGATGTAGATATGATCCAAAATTGCAAATGCAAAGAGTTATTGGTTTACTGTTTCAACAGGTCAGAGTTTGAAATGGTATCAAATCTGAAAGAATTATCATATGCCAGTTTTTCTTGTGTTTAAAATTCTGAAAACTTCTGTCAGTCAGTAGCACTCAATGTTCAGATCTAAACCACATTTATTTCAAAAGCTCTGAAATATTGGCATACTTTTCTACATCGTTTACTGGCTTGATCAGAATAATACCAAAGGAAGATACAAGCACGAACTTAAGGTATGATTTCAGGATTTTGGTACAGGGCATGCCCGGTCATTTCTACAGAATGTCTCCTGTACTGGGTACGTGATTGATCCTCAAATTACAAGGTTTTTTTTTTTGGCTTTTGCCATTTTTTAGGTTAAGTGTACCAAGCGCTTCAGAAACGAGAAAATCTGAGTATGTATTTTGAGACAAAGGAGGCATTGTAGTCCATGTGCACCTTAGCACCACATCAATAATTTGTATTCATAAATACCTCAGACAGTCTCCCCATTCAACAACTTGCAACTTGATCGTGTATTAACATTTGATAATGTCCACTGAGAAGTGATAGTGCTCGCTGCGTATATCACGCGCTGGCACCTGGATACAAGACAGTTTATTCGATTCTGATTGGTCAAGGGTCTGTCAGCACATAGCTTTCCACGCGCGTGCCAAGTCCATATAAGGAGATCCTATTGGACAACTGGCACAAGGAATATACCATAAAATGGACGGGGGTGTTCAGGAAAAAGAAAGTAAAACTCTAGAACAAAATTGTTGGAAATCCATCATACTTGTTATATTGACTTCTTCTGACTCTCTGAATAAAAAAGGTATTTATGAATGGGAATAAATATGTGCTTCGCTGGTCTTAAACTAACATGTAAGACCAGCTCAGGAGAATGGACACCAAAAATGCCCAAACCGGCTTGGACATTACTGTAGTAGTGTAGTTGTGTCCATTCTCCTGAGCTGGTCTTAAATGCACATTTAAGACCGGCCAAGCACATATTTATTCCCTTATTAATTAACATGACATCACTAAAATAAACAGTTAAAGCTGCATACTACCTGTGATCTTAACCACTTGCTGCCGGGTGCTTTTAAAAATGCAGTGCACATATATGGGAGATTTTCAAGATTTTCAGTTTTCAAAATTTGTCAAAAATTCGTCCTTTCATTGAATGGATGTTTACATCCACACGAATGACTGTTTGGTGGCTACTCTAAGCTGACAAGGCAACCTTCATTACTCCTGAGTATTTCAGCCAGGCCTGCCGCCCTGTAAAGAGAGCCCAGAATTGTGAGGTGTTGTGTAATTTCTTGTGTCCCCAGTGAATGCGAGTGGCGTTTTTTCGAACGCGGCCGGATTAGCATGCAGTGGTGCTGTGTCTCTCATCATTGGGGCCCTGGAGCACTTTTGTCCTCGGTGCTAATCCACGGACACGCTATGCCCAAAACAGTGGTATACTGTTTAAAAACAGTGACGGATTACCTTCGAAAAATGCAAGCCAAAACAATGGCAATTCCCAGCAGCAGGTCTTTTGGTCCAAGTACTGTCTTTTGTCACACGGCCTAGCTCTTTTGTTCGATTTCGGGTACCCACGCTCTGCATATAAACCCGTGGTGCTCGAAAAAGGGTTCCCCTGCAGCAAGTGGTTAACAATGTTGAAACACTGATATACATGTATCTCATGAAATGATTGACTTCATAATGATAATAACACCATATATAGATTAAGCTTACATACTTGTAACACTGGTCACAATGATAAAATCACTTACAATTATTAATCTTAAATTCCACAGATTTGGACATTGAAATTTGATAGCTGAGAACAGTTCTAGTCTTTTTATTAATTGTATTCAGCTCTGGAAACCAATCAAATAAGTTTTTCTATTTCTGAAAATAAGGAATGAATGTGTTCTTTTTTTCAGTGAAAGTTTTTACAGACATTCTGCAGAAACTTTATAAGATATTGTAATAGACTATTCAGTTCTTTAAACAAAGAAAGTTCACAGAATACCATTTAACAAATCCAGGAAAACCTGTTTTAGGAATCCACATCTTTGAATGGCTGTCTGAGGAATCTTTCTAGGAGATTGTCCGAGAGAATCCCTATCCTCTCTAATCATGACCCATTGAGGGTGCAATTTCCCTTTGATAACCTCAACAGGACGGGAATGCAATGGGAAAATGGTTTGGCAGGATCCTGACACATTATTTGAGAAAACCAGGAAACTGCTGTAGGAGTTTTAAGTCTACTTGTAGGCATATACTTGCTTGGATAAAAGCTTTTAGTGGCTTCATTTTCCATTCTCCTTCGTTCCTAAACTAACTCAGATGTTAACCTTTCCAATTTTCATCCGTGCCATGTCATTCTTTACTTGTGATTTAACATCTTTAACAGGCTCAATTCTACCCGAGCTGCTCAACAGAAAAAATGTCTTCAGCAAAATTATATGCTTAGCGTGAATATGCAGGGCACCAATCATTAACAGTTTAGCCCGTACATTGCATGTTTTGGCTGGTAAGCTGTTTTTGCTGAGCATTTTTTTGGTGGTTCTTAGCAGCTTCCTGAATTGGGCACTGTTGGTTCATGGTGTGCCTAATGAAAATTATGTCTGTTAACCACGTCATACTAAATGGTACCGTAGATTTGCCAAAAGTGGTCCAATTTCTGAAAGTTTGTTTTCCTTAGAATGGTGTCTTATGATGCCACGGGATCTGTCAGAAATGGTGGCACAGGAGGGGATGTTTCTCTAGCCAAATCTTCATATTGTAAAAGTGACAACGTAATTCTCCAGGGGAAGTGTCTTCTTGAAACTCATCCTTTGGTCTGGATGTCTCATGTCTCACTTCATTTATGTGGAACTCCACAGATATTTTCAGTGGGCAATCAGCCGTTGGAGTTCTTGTGGAACCAAACATTAAGCAAAAGTCTTCTTGGCTGGCTGTTAGACTTGGTTTGATTTTGTTGGGACTTCTTAAAGATCAGCAAGATTGTCAGATAAAGGGATCATTAACATTTAGTGTGTTTCTTGTAGTCTTTTAATCCTCTCTGCATGGTTTGTTAACATGTAGCCTGCACAGTACTTAGTTTGCACAGACTCATACTTAGTTCTGCACTCGCTCATAAGCACAAACTAGTGAAAATGTTCACAGTACCATTTTTGTTTGTGACTACAATTTGTAAGTCTGGGAGATTTTCATATAAAGTGGCACTGACGCACACCTGCATTTTATTCATTAATCTGAGCATAAATGCATGTGTTTTGCCAATGCTGAAAAAAAAAATTGAATGACAGCTGAAACATATCGGTGTCCTATGCATTTTTTGTAATTTTTTCTGGCTTCACGTTTTGCCCTCAGAATTTTAGAGAAAGAAATTCAGGCGTTGAAGAAGAACCACGAGGTTGAGATTAAGCAGTTGAAAGAAGCTTTGGAGAGTCTGAAGAAGGATAATGATAGACAGCAAGAAATCATCGGACAGGTTGGGTGGTTTTTAGTTTTGGAACTCTGAAGAAATTTTCCAGTCCACAAAAATGATTCCGAATGCTGAAAATAAATTATGTAGTCAGTTTTAGGAATTGAAACACTTGTATGTAACCAAATTTTTCTCAGTGTTATGAAATCATACTTGATAATTTTCCCACAGATGATTTTTCTAGTTTCCACGTGGAACTTATAATCTCTGATCATTGCAAGTTCTACATGTACATTGGAAGACTTTGCTTAGATTGAGCTACACGTAGGATTGTACTCCAACTTTGATTTTTCTACATGTATATCAGGGGATGGGGGTATTAGTGCAGAGGGAAGTTTGTAGGTGTCCAAAAACAAAGCTATATAGCAGATGTGACACATTCAAGTTTTGATTGTTTTCGGAACGCCTGTCTTGTGGGCTTAATTTCCATGGTTTGGTCTCTTTTGTGGAAGACAACTCCCAGCTGGATTCTCAGTTTTTGGTCTTGCTAGTCCAAGCAGCATGCCTTAGCATTAGGGTTGATGCACATTGTAAATCCATTCTTACATCTTATTCCGCAGAGTCTTAAGATGACACCAGAGGCTCGTATCAACCAGACAGTCCAGCATGAGATATCAAGGCTCACTAATGAAAACCTGGTAAGTGAAGGCGGTATTGTGGTTCGCGCATGTCCTTATTTTGTCTAGGATGCCATTTTCATCTTCTGGAGGACTTTATTGTGCCCATCTTATTCTTTTAGGTTTTTTCTTATTTTTTTTACTGAAACTGCTCAAACAGAAGTTGATTTGACCTGACATCTAAAAATCAGTCTATCGTGCATGTTGCTCTTGGGTTCATATGATTTAGACCTTTAGACTCATAGGTAATGTATCATTCGTCATTTGTTTTCATGTAGGATCTTCTGGAGCAGAATGAGTATCTTGAGAAGCAGGTGAGGAAACTCAAGAAACAACTCAAGGTGGCATACAGGAGAGTTACCAGCACCTTAGAGTCATCAGGTAGGGGCTCTTGTTCTCTTACGTCAGAGAACTTTAATGTATTGCATTCCAGTTAAGTCATGTTTCCAATGCTCTCGACTTTCATCACTTTATCATTTAAGTGCCACTCAGGCCACTTGGTTTGCAAGTGGTGAAGTTGACATTGTTTTGTTAAGTTGTGGATTCAGAGTTCCGATTAATTAAATTAATACAAATAATCCTCAGTCAATCATTCACCAGTCAATCATATCTAGTCCAATCAAAACTGTTTCAATAAACATTAGCATTTATAAAGACATTTGTTATAGTCCTGTGACATTGTTGATGTCCTGTTTACTGTGAAGTGATGCATGACCTGACTTGGATTCGACTGGATTATAATTGGGCAAGGTTTCATTTGAAATTGATGTGTCGTGAGCAAGAGAAATGCAAGGTGGTTGTAGCAGGGAAAAAAATAACAGCCAAACAGAAAGTTGTCTTACTTGACCGATTTTTAAATTGGTGCCAAATGGAACTAGTCCGTCAACTTCATGTATGTAAATCAAAACATTATCTTAACCCTAACTGCCTAGTATCCATCAAACTCCAACAGCAGGTTTTGCTGAGTTTGGGCAGGTTTGGCACCATACCCGATGAACTTCTTGTTGAATTTTGTTGGACTTGGTATCAAAAGCCCAGGGTGATGGTGTTGGATTTTGTGTGAGTTTGGACACGCACGGGTCACTGTGTGCGGTGTCTGGCTTGCTGTACCAAGTGTTGGACTATGCTTGATTTTGTCAAGTTTGGCACTGTTCAGTGCAAGTCATCCTATACTGCATAGACCCATCCATACCATGTCACTCAAACTCCAACAGAGGTATACTGTTGGAGTTTATCAGGTTTGGTGCAGTGACTTGCTTGTAGTAAACAGGCACGTACACATGTCTGTTGAGGTTTGTTGGGTCCAGTATGCTCCCCAGTGCAAGAGGGGGGTTAGGGTCAAAGAAAGAAAGAAATTCACTGACCTCTACTTTGCCATTCAACAACCTTCTCTACAGTTAGTACCATTCCATATTCCCACCACAGCCACACCAACATCTCTGGGCGAAACGCCGGCTGCATCACACCTCTCGGCACCAGCCAACATCAGTGACACGACTCACATCGGGCCGGCCAACGTGAGGACAAAAGAACGAGAGATCCAGGGCATGCTGGATTACAGACAGGAAGATGACACCAAGATCATTAAAACGATTATCATAGGTTAGTAAATTGAATATGTGTCTAATGATGGCACCGTGTACTTGCTGGGGCCAGTGAACGACACAGCAAAGATGTACATCTAGCCCTAGATCCAAAATTTGGTCTCAACCTTACCTCCCTTGACTACTTCCCTTTGCTTTTTAAGCTGTTTTTTTTTAATTCCACTCACACCCCTGCTACAAGACCATTGCTACATGCATGCTGATTGCAAACTGAGAGCAAATGCAAAGAATTTTTGAAATTTCTTTCTTTACTTAGACTTCCAACCCAAGACTGCAGAGAATCTGTTACCAGGGTTACCAGCCTATGTCATCTTCATGTGTATACGGCATGCTGATGATATCAACGATGATCGCAAAGTCAAAGCGCTGCTTACAGGTGTCATCAATGGAATCAAGAAAACTGTCAAAGTAAGTCGGAAAAAAATGCTTCATTTACCGAGGATTTTTTGTAATCCATTGATTAGATCAACCTCTGAAAACTCTTTGCTTGTGTCCAAAAATTGATATTCAGCTTTAATTGTATTTTTCAAAGCCATGGTTTATTAAAAAATTAATTACATTAGGAGGGAACTTGTCATCATGTTTTTTGGGTCAAATGTAATATTTGTATCCACAGTTTCCACACCTCTGTCATAATTCAAATGAATCTTTATCATAACCATTGGTGTTTCCATCCTTTCACAGAAACACTTTGAGGACTTTGAGTATGTGTCTTTCTGGCTGACCAACACGATTCGTTTGATGCATACACTCAAGCAATACAGCGGTGAAGAGGTAAGATTAAGAAAGTGTTTCAGTTATGCCTGGCTTCAGATCTAAGGTCAGAACAGTGACAGTGTGTAGTGCAAATCCTAGTTGTAGACAAAAGAAACGGCCATGTTCCTGGCTGGATTGAAGTCGAGACCCGGTTCAAATGTAATGTGTAATTCTGTGTTCCAAAGCTGCTTGTAACTGAGCAAAACAAATCCAGATTAGTGAAAGCCATTAATCTCTTGCATGCTTGAGCCAGGGTTCAAATTCAGTAGAGACAAATTTGAGCTGGACTTTCAAGCCTAGACTTGAGGGCACAATTTGACAGGCAACATTACTACTTAACGTTCATGTTCTTTAAATCTTCATGCCAACTTGCCTAATCTGACAGCTGTGATGTAGCTTGAGTACTTTTCAGTAGAACTGAATTATTAGACCAAAGTAATCTGATGAATGAGATTTTCGCATTTGTGCTGTGTTCTGTGGAGAAGGTCAGTTCTTTCGTGGAACATTTAATATTGTGTTGGCTGTGCATGCATCACTTAAGCCGGCTGTGGTAACCCACGTTTTGGTGAAATTGTCGTCCCTAGAACTTCTGCAATCAGAACACACGTCGGCAGAATGATCACTGTTTACGGAACTTTGATCTGTCGGAGTACCGTCAAGTCATGAATGACCTGGGAGTTCACATCTACCAGATGCTGGTTCACATCATTGAGAACAAGCTGTTGCCAATGATTGGTGAGTCTGATCAAGAGGGACTAGAAATGTCAGTTTTCTTCTTTGAGATTCATAGCATCAGGTTCCTGTAGACACTGCGATAGCTCTTGTTACCATCTAAACAAATGTACAAACTCTTTGTTCTTGTAGATTCATGGTTGCACAAAGGCTCGGGATGTTACCTTGACCAGGGGACCATTTTTAGGTTAGGAATGTCAAGACCAAACTTTCAGGACAAGTAATTTACCCCTGTAAATGCTTTTGGTCCCCGCAACATCTGTGTTTCAATATGTGTGTAGTTACTCTGACATCAACATATGACAGTCTTGAGAGAGGGGGATTTTGACACTTTTGCTGTGGGTTTGACTATTTAGTTGTTTTTTAAGACTTTCTTGCAATGTATTTTGAGATTCAGACATGAACTTTTAGACAACGAACGTTGACACTTTTTCAAGATAAACGTACGACACTTTTTCAAGATAAAGTATAGTAGAAGCCTTTCTATAACAGTAATCTGTAATATTTTTGAAATTAACTTTATGCACTGCTCAGGTCCAGCCGTACTACGGAGTAAGAGTATGTAATGCAATAAAGTCTTTCTTTCTCGGCTTCAAACACTCTCCTTCCCAGTCCCTGACTTGTGGTTTCAAAACAGCCAATCTTGCATACTTCAGTCTTTTTCCCTCCCTGGTATAATGTAATTTGCCCCTTTCACAGCAAATGCGCCGGAAGTTTGCATGGGGAAAAACAGTTGATGAAACTCTTGACTAGCTTTTTTCTCGGGCAAAGCTCTTTTATCAATGTGAGCCCCCTTTTAATACCCTCCCCTAACTTTAACCCTGTTCACCCCCCCTCCCACATTGTTGCAGGGAGAACTCCCAATAATTAAGTTTATTAAAAGTAAGATTTTATGAACTTGGTTGAATTTGATCTGTCAGAATATCTGGCTACTGTTGAGAGTAATGTCAATCTTGTGGCATATTGATGGCTTTTTGTGGGGAGGGGGTAAATTACAAAGTATAAATCTTCTTGAGAAGAATTTGGAATAGTCAAAGATGTGTTTTTCTTTAGATTTTTTGTAAAGGATTCATACGGGTACACCAAACATTTGACAATCAGTATTGGTAATTTTGCAATTTTGCATAGTCAATTTTGAATTTTAACAGTCGGTCCAAGCTCACTGAGAAACAACTTCGGTTATTTTCATTTCTCCAGTCCCTGCTATGCTTGAAAGTGACAGTGCTGGACTTACAACAAAACCCTCAGGTTTGAGAGGTCGGAGCGCTAGTATGTCAGCCGATTATGATGGACAGAAAATATCAATAGACTCGTTAATTAAACAGGTAGGTCAGCTTCTGAACCGCGGTACCAAACTTGTAAATGCAATCTCTGAATTGTGAAGACTGAAAAGAATATTTTATTGGGGATGTGTTATATGCCATTTACCAGGATGGACTGCTTATAAATGGAGTTTTGTTTCCATGGATATTGTCTGAAAGCAAGTGTGATTGCATTTAATTGGAATAAAATGTTGTACGTGGTGAAAAAGAAGTTTCCGCTTTTGAGCAATCTTTTCATTAGGAAGCTTACCATTTAGTTAAAGATACCAGCCAACTGGTTCTCTGACTCGGTGCAATCTCTAGACCTATTGCAATTTGTGTCAAAGTAATTCCTCAGACATCTTTGGTTAATCTTCCTTCATGGGAAATTTCTCATCTTCTCACCACGTATTCATCCAATGTTGAATTCCTCTCTCTTTGCCACAGCTCACCACGTTCCTAACAGTCATGAACAATCACGGCACAGATCCTGAGGTGGTCAAGCAGGCTATCAAGCAGGTAGGAACAGAAAATGCCACTTGCTTTCACAGAATTTCTATAAAACAGCCAGTTTGTACTTCATGAGAATACCGACCTGAAGTGAATTTTGATGTCACAAAGCTTTTGAAGCCAAAATACAAACGGATTTGAAGGCTGTTCAGCTTTGGCAATTAACAGCACAACCTCTTTTACCGTTTCATCACAAGTTTGAGTTTGTGTACTCATTCAGTTGAGGTGTTCGCTGGCCTTAAAGATGCTTAAAATGGCATGCTGGGATTTGTTTAATTTCATCAAGTTTATTTCCAAAAGGAATTGGAACGAATTGGTTCCTTTGAACCATTCATTTTTGAGAACCTAGTTCTTGATATTTTCTTTGCTTTTTAATATAATCTGGGAAAACTAATTTGAAATCTTGTTTATCCTTTTCATACAGTACTTAAACGCAAATTGACGAATTTATATATACATATTTGTTATTTATATTGTTACCACAGTCTTTCTACTTAATAACTGCCAGTACTATCAACAACATACTACTCAGAAAGGACATGTGTCATTGGTCCAAGGGTGTTCAGATCAGGTAAGTGGCTTGTGACTAGACCCACACCCTCCACACCCAGCCTCAAACACCCTCAGTACTATCAACAACATACTACTCAGAAAGGACATGTGTCATTGGTCCAAGGGTGTTCAGATCAGGTAAGTGGCTTGTGACTAGACCCACACCCAGCCTCTAATGCCCTACCCTCCCGTAACTATCTCCCTACCCCTATGCCAGGTCCCGAAAACTCCCACCTAGCCTGACACATCCTCCCCGCCCCAAACACTGCTATGACTACAACATTTCTGAGCCTTTTTAGAGATATGAGTTACGTTCTTCATGGAGGTCATCCTTGCTCGGTGTAAGATATTTGTCATTTTTTAGAGAAACTTGCCATGATGCACAATTTGATCTTGACAACACTGGTTGAAACCTATAAACTGTGAGAATCATTCCAATCACCATGGCAGACATTGTGTAGCTCTTCTGGTCTTTTGTTTTGTGCTGAAAATCTTTGACTTCATGCTTTGTTTAATTTGATTTTTTTTTTTTTAGTTTTGATCTGAATAATAGTAGTTTTTATTTAACGAGAAATGGAAATATGAAATGAATTTAACGTCATGTAACACCCATGGAGAAATGTGCATAACAATTTAAATGTATTGAGCTTTAAAACGGGGACAGTGGAAGCACTTGCTGTCAACATCAAGAAAAAGATGTTATGTTGCATGATGGAAAACATTATTATATGTGGAATATACGTTGTACAAAAAGATCTGAGGTGATTTCGAGTCATGATAGTTGGAACAAATCCTAGTACAACTGACTGTTGGGTGTGATGCTCGGCGTAGAAGACCTGACAATGTTCTTTCATGGTATTCTCTGGAAAGATACAACATGAGCGAATTGGAGGAATGGCTACGAAGCAGCAAACTGTTTGATCACCGAATGGAAGAGACCCTGGAACCATTGGTCCAGATAGCTCAACTGCTTCAGGTCAAGAAGCGAACTGACGATGATGTCACGCTGATTTGTGAGACATGCACAAAGCTTACCACAACACAGGTACAGATTGGCGTTCTTCGCTGGTTAGACAAAAACTGAAATATGACACAGGATTGGCTATCCTGGGATATGGACAACTGTTCGAAGTTTCTTTAGAAATTATCTAGACTAATGTGATAATCAGAATTAGAGGCCTCTGCTACTCATGGACAGGTCACATGTACTCGTTAAATAATTTTTCAGCCACTGTGACCTGCCAACTTTCATATGCACCTCAAGTTAAAGAATGCAAGGCTGAGTTGGTTCTACCTCAACGATTGCATCTTTTGGAAGTAATCTAAGAACCAACAAACTGTTTGTCAGTTTTGCCTCTCAGTGATAGACACTAATCTTCTCCTTGTTCTTTTCCACAGGTGGTGAAAATTCTGAATCTGTACACGCCTGACGAGTATGAAAAGAAGACAGAAGTGTCGTTCATCCGAAAGGTTCAGAGCAAGCTGGTAGGAAGGATGGACCCTAAGAAAGATGGACAACTCTTGATTGACACCAAGTACACGTTCCCTGTCACCTTCCCTTACAATCCATCCTCGGTACTACTTAATGAGATCACCATTCCTGACTCTTTCAAATTGGACTGTGTCAAGCGAGTATGAAGGAATTCAGGCTTGTAGTTCGCAACATCGTCCATCTTCCACAGTTGCTGTTCTTAGCATTCCGTCACTTTACTGGCCAGCTGAAGTCTCCTTCCTGGGAAAATATGCATGTTTGGGAACATTCCTTTAGATTTTTGAATAGCTGTTTTGCCGCCTTTGCTGAAATTCTTAAATCGGTACCCATTTGCAGATAGGATGCATTCATAAACCTCATCCACACAAATACCCATTCACAGATAAGAAGCATTCATGAACTTAATACACGCAAATACGTGTATCTTTTGATTGGTCAGTTAGTGAAGTCAGCGCACTCTAGATGCCCAGTTGTTGGTTGCTTCCACCCTGAATGTGATACACTCACAGCTGTATTTAGGGATCATTCCTACCACTGTCTCCATTTCCAACCCCCCTTAAAAAAGCAAACTGGATTAAAATGAAAGCCAGATAAAGAGACTTTTTTTTATCTTGGTTAAGTTGTGGTTGATGTTAAGCCACTAAAGTATCCGTCAGTCGTAACTTGGACTATGCAAGATTGGCATGTTACAACTTACATGGAGAGTTTAAGTTGACAAAAGGATACAATGCTGCTCAAGAAACCAAGATCGGGCCATCGAAAACTAGATTCATGTAATAAAATAGCTTTCCAAACTTACACCTAAGACCACTCCATGATGGTCACAGAGCAACTTCAAATGTTCTCACTTATTTGTTCTGTCTCGTATCACAAACCCTGGATGTCCCTTGACAAGTTGCAGAATCCTAGCTTGTCTCATACACATTTAGCTCCACGAAGCATTCACAGGTTTTGCACATTGTGTCCTTCAGTCCAGAACACTGAACCATTCCACATCTTGCAAAGTCTAACAGATTTCTGAAGATTTCTCGGGGCCAAGGATGGTAGAGCCCTGTTAATATTGAAAACAAAAAAATAAAGAATGTCTTAGTTCCTCGCAAAAGTGGATTGTGGACTTGAGGTTACTTGTTATGTAATAAGTGAATATGCTAACATTAGGCCGTCTCCACACTTTATGTCTACATGTAAAACACAGTTCATTGTGATAGCACTTGAAAGCAAAAATTATAGCATCACATATCCCCCAAAATGGAATTACTGAAGGTATAAAATGGTGTGCCCATTGAGCTGTAGCCAGGTAGGATTGAAGCTCTTACCAGGTACAGAAAACATTCTTCAAGTTTTCTTGTGGAAGAAGAAAGTTGAAGCAATATATTTATGGCTTCTGGGAAAGTGACAGGAACGTCTTGTCTTGGATGTTTCCATTTTTTGTATTCACATCTTCATTTCTTTTGAGGCTGACAACCTATCAGAGCGTAAAAAATGTAGAAATAGAAATTGAGCCCTTCAAGTTAGTATTCATGAATCTAGTTTAAAATGATAAAAGGAGCGTAAAAGGGCAGAGGGAAAACATGGACAATCTAAGTTGCGTTGGAGCCCTGGAAGACATTCTGTGAAGTTACAGGGAGCCTTGTGCATAATGACAAGTCACAGAGTTGCTGGATATGAATGAATATCACAAATTGGCAATTGAAACTATTGAAAAAGTTGGCTTGACGGTATTCTGGTTATTAAGGGGACCATTTCCTCGGGTAGATAATTTCACATAGCATTGAAATTAAAATTATTCCATGTAGGCTTTCATGAAGTAATTTCAGTCATGTGATAAAAAAGGGTGATGTAATTTTTATGATAAGAAATTGAAGTGTTCGAGAAAATGTGACCTGCGCTCTTAGTGCGAGAAATATGTTCAGCATGGAAGAGTCATCCTGTGAACAGTTCCAATTGTTTTGACCTGCTCGGATTGGAGGTGTGGCATTCTGGCTGTTCTTTCTGAGAGATTACTGCAGCTTTTAGTAATAATTGCCTGACACTCGGAGGTTAAGCCACCGAGTATCATATCCTAGTTAATGCCTGTGATGCTTTCATCCCTCGTTTTGAGAGAGTGTGTCACAGCTGACAAGTTTATTTGCACTTGGTGTTTGTGCTATACACTGGTTAGTGTCCCTGTAAATGTACATATTACCTACACTGTATCATGTAATTATTAAGCTGTTTGTGTATACATTTGTCAGATACTATTGCTTTGATTTGTTATTGATATATTTGGTGAATTGCAAGAATTATTTTTTCTACTTATAAGCCAAACCTTTGTTGCACATGAAACTCATTTTTATTGTGGGAGATTAAGTTTATAAAAGCGGTAAATTAATTAGCAAATTTGCTTGGTAAGTAGCAGTAATTTGAGGATAGCTGTGCTAGTAGAAATATATATATGTCTACATTTTTTACCAAAAAATTGGACTTGTGGCTTTGGCAAAACAGTTGAAGGGTAAGCCGTGTCTGAATCAACCAGCTGTGGCTATGAGTATCATACCTGCCTATGGGAACTAGCTGTGGCCGTTAGGCACTGGCACATAACACCCAACAATTCCAAAAAGATGGCACTGGAAAGCTGGTGTCCTCCATTGTCTGTGTGTGAAACCAGGAAACAAGCTCACAGTTGGGGAAGAAAAATGATAAAATCATTTGCGGAAAATGGAATTAGCATAAAATTAATAGTTGGTGTATAGATTGTGTATAAGAATTTAGAATGGTACATATTAACAATTGCTTAAATGTAAATAGTTTATTTGTTATCAAAATCATGTTCAAATAGAGTAATATATTAATTGCCATTGGTCATGGTTAAGTAAAGCTTCTGACTTGTTAATCGGGATAAATCATGCCAAACCTTTTCTAAAGAACTTCCTTGAAGGTTGTTTGTTAGCACACTTTTTGTTTTTGTAAATCTCACTGACAAATCTGAGCATTTGATTGGTTGGTCAAATGAAACACACTCAGCTGATTGGTTGTAAACATTTCCCTGATACGATGCCATGAGAGCTAAAAGTTCAAATCAAAAGTTGAAGTTTTTATTCCACACGTTCTCCAGAGTAGATTGGTGCAGCAAAAATCAGAAAAATATTTATTTAGTCAAAATCTTTAATTGGTTTTAATTGCTATGAGTGATAAACAATTATACAAAAGCTTATAATTCAAGTATAAATATATTTAAGTTACGCAGATGTAATCATGTATTCAAACCATCTTTGTACCATTTGCATAATTTGTCTGTCCTACATCTGTCTTTGTTTTTTCAACTGAAAGCCTACCCTATAACTTGATAGCAAGAAATACTGTTCTTTTCCAGTTCCCAACAATTTTTTTTAATTGTATGTCTTGGTTTAGTTTCAGGGTTTACGTTGATGCTCCGTTTTTTGACAAGTACGAGCCCACTCCTTTTTGTTAGCATCAATGTGTATGCGCCATTGTTCAAATGATATAAAGTATGAACAGCTTAGATATCAGGTATGATATAAACGGCTAAATTCCACAACAGATGTATTTATAGTTGATGGCTGAGGCAATAAAAATGTTCCATAAAACTGAGATTGGATAAAGTGTCTGGTGTCTTGGTTCTGTTTCTACCCCTTCATAGCTTTTCCCACCCCAACCCCTTCCACAAAAGGTATATGTTGTTAAATTTTTAAAAAGTTTATTTTACTTCTGCGCATTCAGATTTCTGATATCCAAAGATTGTTTCAATTAAAGCTCATAAATATTGTAGAAATTGTTCGTGTATCAAATTTTAGATGTACAAGTTGACTTGAATTGCTCTCAATAAAATAAAATTTTATTCGCAACACTGTATTCTTATTCAGTCACTTTTGAAATTAAAAAGAATACAAATTAATTATTGCATTGGAAGAATGTTTTATGTTAATATTAAGAGGAACCAAGAAATTAATCATTCGATTTAGTACTTCCTCAATCTCGGAAGCTTTTTTATGCCAGGAAATCTGGAAGTCAACAAAAGCACATCCAGAAAAATGAAGATAGTTGAATTTTTCAAGTTGCATTCCCTTTTTTCTTGCAATCTTGATCTTTGATCGTCACACTGCTTTCATTATGCCCTCCAACTTACATTTTGTGGATTGAATTTGGGGTAAATAGAGCAAGTTATAAAACGTCATTTTTTTCCCTTTTCAGAAATTTTGAGTTGGAAAAATACAGGATGGAAGTTGACATGATTCCACTAGGGACACTTTCACTCCACAAACAGGTGCTGCCTTTATTCACTGTGAGCTTTACATTTCATACACATTCTACAATGTACATTTGTACTTACTTAGAATTGCACAGATCAACCCATGATGCATGGCAATGGATGGGTTGTGAATAAAACGCAGATGAGAATCAAACATGTCGACCACCCTCATTTCCAAACCAAACTTAACTTCAGTAAAAATCTGAGCAACATCATATACGGAAAGGAAGTATGCTCACAATACCGTACAGTTGCTGTTTTCGCTCGGACACATTCTTACTGAGACTGCACAGGATCAAAGACAATTACACGAAACCAGCTTGGTGTAAACATTTGAAGAGAAAAGATTGGATACATTTGAAAAAAGAGCTTTAATGGGGTGTCTTTTGAAGAAATATTGAAAAAGCATTGATGTGTGAGTTGCAAGTGTTTCCCACAGTATTTAGAAACTGCCTGTAAAACACTACAAAAAACAAGTCACATTTAGCTAACTTTTTCCAGCGACATTAGACGGCTCTGACATTTAAGGTTAAAATTGAAGGTTTGCAGGAAACAGGTTTACAGTCCAGACTGACATTATCAGTACTATTAATGTAACATCCTGCTTAGAACAAATTTTACATTCCCCAATCTTTTGTAATCATTTTCCAACAACACAAGGTCCCTCTTTTAACAAGGTAATTGTAAATCCTCAGTGACCTTGTTATAAAGGTGTGTGACTGCACACAGATATGGTTCTAACAAAATGGCCAATTTTGGGGGGGAAAATTAGAAAATCAGGCAGTTGTAAGACTTGCCTCTGTCCTATTTTAGTCTAGAGAAATGCACAAACTGATTTTGTTCTAATTCATAACTGACACTGGTCAATGGTTGGTCTTTTGGCCGCTAGAGTGACAGGTGAAAAGAATTGAATCAAGATACCTGGAACATCACAATACAAAAAGGAAGTCTGAAGTTTGAAGCCTTATGGAAGTGTTGCCAACGTTTCATTTTTCACTGACAGTTGATATGAAGCACAGTCACAGCTTGCATGATTTTTGCCCGCCAAGCACACAATCAAAGTTCACACACTGTCAAACACTGACTTGTCCACAAATGAGTTTACACTTTTGAAATATCAAAACAAAATATAGAATTTATTGACATCCATATGTACACTAAGTTTAAACTCAGATATCCGGGAATTAATTTCAACTTATTCTTTTAAGTTTACCTATCGGATCTCATTTCAGGTCACTCTTTCAAACATTTTCAAAAAGGCCAACAATGGAATCCCCCCATTTTAATGACACTGTAATTTTTCTCTTGGATTGACGGAGTAGCGTAGCAGGTGCCATGGTAACCTAACTCTTTCACTCTCTGCTGACCTGGGCAATGCGTGCTGGCAGTAGGGCAACCATCTCCTCACAAAGTTCATACTCTGCCTAAATGTAGAAGACAAAATTACCTGCTGAATTTCTTTTGCCACTGCAAAAATACAAGTTGGGAATTCATTTCAAGATGGAAAGGATAATGAATCTCAAGGTGTGCAGCAATTCCCTTTCATACGTTATGATACTGCGAAATCAATTTTGACCAGTAAAAAATGACAAAATGATCAAAGTTCCCGTCAGGGTACCACTCACAAATTGAACATGGAATAAGAAGAGCCAATTGATATCATTATCTCTTCAATCAAAAGTCAGCAGCAAGCGTCACAGGTGAACAGCCAATCGTGTCCTTCCATTTTTTGTTTGTTAGTTTTTTGGCTCTTCTTATGCCAGCGGAGCTGATAATGTTGGTCTTAATATTTTACAGATATTGACTTCAACCTACTTTCATCTTCTCCATGGCCTCTGGGTGGCACTTGCAATAGTCTACCACGAACTTGTAATTCTGTAAGCTATCAGAAGGTGAATCAAATGACAGTAAACGGACATGCAACAGAGAACTTTCAGAAAAATGAGAAAATTTAAAATTGAACGAGATAGTTAGGTATGGTTTTTAGTTTGAAACAGCACACATGAGAATTGAAGAAACAAGGAATCAGCTGATCTGAGGAAATATGGCACATCTACAAATGTGGAAATTTGCCTACAAAATGCAACACAAAAATATCAGCTGACTTTCATGCCACAGGTCAACTATGTTAAAAGTACAAAGAGTAACCTAAAGTCCATCAAAAGAAATCCCCTGCTGAGGGTTTTGATGGTTCTGTTGGTTTCAGGATTGTGTAGCCTAGCCAATATTAGTCACATGAACAAAGAACATGTTAAGGATTGAGTGGAGAGACGTGACAGGTTCAAAAAGAATCTTAAGTCTGGCAAGTTAGGAGACCAGAGTGCAATCAAGAGAGGGCGCAATTTTCCAAGCAAGGGAGGCTCTTTTAGTAGGGACTGCACTTCGCTAATTCACAAGCACTCCTGACCATAATGGCTCTTTTTCAACTGATGAGGGTGTGCTTCTGCTCAAGGAAGATAGCAACAGATCAGTCAAGACTTTCAAACTAGTATTACCTGGTAGTTAAGTTTTCTATTCTCTGTTCTGGGTTTGGTGTGACGATCTTTGAATATCTGCCAATAATAAAATCTAAAGCCGTTAGATGCATGTACAAGTCAGAAAAAAAAACAAGAATGCACTCATGTTTAAATGTCTTTGAAAAAATTCAATTTTAAAAGTAGCCAGTAGCTGCATGACCATTTGAAGGAAACTAGCTCTGATGGCACAATGTGGAAGACAGCCAAAGAGATATGTGAAAGGGAAAAGCAGCGATGTTCTTACAATCTGGCCTTGCAGAAATAGGCCACCAGGGCTGGCCTCATTACGTCATCCTCCAGCGTTGATGGCATCTTCTTCTCAGCGTCTCTCAAGGAATCTTGAGAGGACGACCCAAAGCGGTTGAAAGTTGGACAGGAGGGGGGTGGGGCAAGAGACAGGGGTAAGAAATAACATCGCAGATGTGGTAAAAAAAAAAGTCCCACTCTCCAACATTTAGGAAATTTGAGGAGAAATGCAAGACTTTGAGTTCAATAAAATATAGCAGTTCAATTAAGATTTGCAGGTGTTGAAAGAACTCAAGGCAAACTTGAATCTGAATGAATATCAAGAATCGTTTGAGGCTTTCAGAACACTTAAGACTCCAAAACTTACCAAGGAATTGTTGAAAGTATCCCAAACTTTGCTGTATTCTGAAACAAAGAAATGACAACAAATTTAGACACTTTTATGAAAAGTTTCTTGCATTAAATCAAAAAGCTTGTGTCGATATCGATTCAAATCAAGAATGGAACATTAATGTCCATCTTTCATAGAAACGTAATTGCAGCAAGATTTGGAAAAATTAAATACAATGCAAAAGGAAAACCAGGATAGGAACCACAATGAGTTTCCGTTGAACACAGAAAATAACGAAAATCAAACACTTCAAAATAAACCAACGATGCACTTTAATATGCAAGTAGTAGAAAAATGCTGTATAGCTCATCCTACTTACAACATGTTAACTTTACCACAGGCATGAGCTGTTGGTGCGACCTCTGAACTCTCTGCTATTGCTATCTTCAAGTCCATCATCTCACTATGAAGAGATCACATCAGATGTGATAAACACTTACACAATCCATCACCGTCGATGCCAGACTCCTCAACTGTTTGCATTAGGCACGTACTAATGCTTGAACTTAAACCTTCAAGATTCGGGTCGAAAAACGAGTCACTTTGATGTTAACTGTTTAAGTGAACAGGTAAACAGACCAAGGAAACTACGCTGATTGGGATGATGCTGGAGAAATGTGACCATGGCCAAGTCATTACCATTTGCAACTCTCTATAAGAAGGTCTGGGGTTTAAATCCAACTGCTTGTCATGTTGTGTCCATAGGCAAGCCAATTTACCCCTACTTGACATTCATTCCCTTGGAAGTATCAAAGGCTAACAGCATTAACTGGGGAGCAATTCGAAGTGTGAACTTACATTTTAAGAAATTTAGACAAAATTGAAAAAGAAATTTATTTAAATTTTTATGCAAACATATAGTTTACTCCAGGAAAACCCATCAGCCTCATCAACTGTACTGGCCTAGCACTTCCTTCTGAATTAAAAGTGCATTCACCCACCTTGTAGTCTCAGCCAGTTCAAACATGAGTTGCCTACACACCATCAGGAAGTGCTGTGGGTTTAACTCCTTTAAGATGTCCTGGAGCATGTCTACTCTTCGCTTGTGCATCCGACATCGCCTCTCCAGGTCAACCTCAAAGGAGGCTAGAACTTTGAACAGGGCACTGTGATCCTGTCAATTTGACACATTAGCGTAAACATCACTGTAATGGAACATGTGATACAAAGCCGCAGTAAACCAACTGAACTGTGGCTGTGGCTAACAGTAGCACCCGCATCTGTAGGAAGACCCAGCCATAAGCCTGTGGCTTACAGGCATATGTAATACTGCTGACCATGGGTAAGGCATCTGAACACTGCTTTCTCAAGCCCACTGCTCCAAAACTTCAACACCTGGTTGGCAATATTTTGGCCAGTTCTGGCCAATTCCTTCCAGCATGGCCCAGCCACTATCTCATCACATGGGGAGTGGTGTACAAAGTTTGTACAAAGTAATAACTATACACAGGTGGATTCGGGGAGGAAGTGGTTTCTGAAGGGTTCCTAGCAAAATGTACCAACAGTTAGGGTTCAAGGTACTCGCTGTGATATACATGCTAGAGAGTTTTCAATCTGATCTGACAAAGAACATCTCCAATAATGTAGGCACAAAAGGGGGAAAAGGGTAAATGTAGTTAAAATGTTTCCTGAAACAAAGCAATGACTTACTCTGATAATTTCTATGTAATCAGAGACATGGCCATCCAGTACATAGTATTCCTTGGCTTCTGTAATCCATTTCTGACCAGCTAGGAACAATTCACGGGCCTAAATGCAATAAAAGAAGTATTCTGTTTGACAAACAGTAACACTGACGGTAGTAATTCATGTCGTATCTTTGATTCGTTTTGTTCTATTAAAACTCTTCGATGAAAACAAATGCATGTCACCTCGTCAAAAGTCACCACACATTTGTCTGTGACTCTGCTTTCCAACGACGTCAGCTCTAAGCCTTCAAACTGCAATGTCAGCTTTTTCATCTTTTCGTCATCCGATTCAGTATTCTCCTGTTCGGAGGATTCCCGCGCCGCTGACTGCATTTCGTCAGCCGTCGCATCCCTGTTGTCAAGTTGGTTTTCGGTCTCAGCCACCCCTAAGGAAGCATCCCTGTCATTGGACAGTCTGCTTACTTCCTCTGCGAGTTTATCTCTGACAAGGGAGAACAGCACAAGCAATGACTATATCAACAATATCACCCGGGCAAAGTTTTCACCCATGATTCATGTTCTCTGAGGGTAAACTTTAGCCAGCCAGTGGACACACCTAGACCCTCATCAAGGAGGATTGCTTTTGTTGACTCCACATCTCTCACAGTGCAAAGCAACTCGCTTATTGTTATAATATGGCAGCTATTGAAGATACCCACAATCCATCTGCCAACTCTCCTTCAGACAATGAAGTGAACAGCCCCAACAGCCTATTTTGCAGCTTTTCAGTCCCAAATCCAACGCCTAAAGTTTTGTCAACCGTTGTTGAGTCATATCAAATTCACTTGGGCACAACCCCAAAGGTAACTACTGCTGCTTAACCCTAACAGTCCTCGATCGTTGATCAGTTGAAGAACTGAGGACTCTAAGAGTTAATGAAACAAAGTATGCTGACCATTAGCCCTAACCCCCTAGGCCCTTTTTGCTAGGGACCCTCCTCCAGAATCCTCCAATTTGGGGGGTGAAAAAATTGCATTCTCCCTCAATCCTCCGAAATCCTCCTAAATTTCTTGAAAATGTTACTTGGAGGTGTGCCTACTGCCTCAATCCTTCCAAATCCTCCCGCAATTCCTGTCATTATGTTAAGGCAGTGCAAACGGCATTCTTGAGAAGTGCCCTTGATTCAAAAGAAATACTAGGCTGAATTTATGCATGACTGACCAAGAACAACACAAAGCCTAACCCACCACCTTCACTCGTGGCGTCCTTCGCAATCAGCCAAGCACTTTTGCCATTCACCCTCAATCCTCCAAAATCCTCCAAAGCTGCCCGAAGGATTTTGGAGGATTGAGGAAGGTTAGGGTTAACCCTAGAAAAAATGGATGAAGTTTCACTGACCTACCAAATGCGTTTAAACTAATTTAGACTGGTTCTCAACAACCTTTTTCCACACATAAACATTTTTCCCAGCTATACGGCAGTAATGCCAGGCAGAAAGGGAACGTTATGACAATTCTGCTGATGGTTCAGTAAGACAAGTCTTCTTACTTTGACAGGTTGAGCAGAGCTAGACAGTATTTCAGCCAGCACCTTGCAATGTCTGCTTTGTGACGTTTGATCTTGTCAATGTCGTCGTCGTACTGATCAGCCTCAGTTTCAACAGCTGGGAGTTTCTCCAGCGTTTCAGCATAGATTCGGGTTGCACTCGCTGAGAAGGATTGAAAGAAATATGCTACCTTCATCATTCAAAGCAACAGAGAAAGAGTGGGAACGTTTACTGTCTCAACAGAGACAATCATTCCAGAGCACGTCAATTACCTGAAGTCTAGCTTTATTCATTACTGAAATATAATCTCAACATCTAGAAAACATCTCAAACTTTGGCATGCTCTAGAATGTTCAAACAAGAACAGTATTGACTCTAATTGGGTACACCTGTAATTTCTACTAGGAACCAGACAAGTTCCCAAATGGGAACAGTGGCCAGTGCATGCATATTTTACCCATAGCCCTTTCCTATATATAGACATGACAAATTCCTTGAAGGAAATCCGTGTTCCTGAAAGGAGCATTACAGTTCCCTTTCTATAACACATCAGTGAGTGAAGTATTTCCTGATGCGTCCATTCGTACATTTGTGGACTGATTGCGCACAAACAACTCCATCAAACTTCTATAAACCACACCTTTATTAAACAAACTATTGGATTGGAGAGATAGAAGGTTTCAAGTTGGGTTCCATTCTTCACCAATGCTCTCTAGACAAGACGTCACAATGTGATTCACAAGTACCGAGGGTAACATGTGGAAAGCTGAGCATAACAGCTGGTTGCAGGGAGTGGAAAGAAATACCTTAATGTAAATCATATCCAGTAAACTGTTCTCACCTAAACAATGGCGTGCCTGGGTATAGTCATCCTGGGTGATGTAGTACTGTGATAGCGTGGCACAATTCAAAGCCCAGTCCATAGCCTCGTACTGATTGGTCTCCAATTGACGTTTTAACGTCTCATGGCAATGACTGGCTGACTGTGGATATCAATGAACTGGTATCTGAGCCCAATATCATTGATTACACTAAAAACAGTGTTTTACGTCATACATGAGGTCTATTCACAATACCTCACTTAGCAGAGCCGCTGCTGAGAAAAATTATTCGGAAACTTTTACAATTAGGCCACATCATATAAACACACGTTCACATTACATACCTCGTGTGGAAACTCCTCTCTTTTCATGAGGTTTTTAAACAAATCGGTGCCATTACTCATTTTTCTTAGGTTTCTACTCATTTTTCTTACGTTTCTAAGCTAGATTTTTGTTTATGGTTTTTGCGAGAGACAACAATGACCTTACAACATCTCTAAACCTGTTGCTCAGAGAGGGGGAAAACCATGTGTGGACTTGGCTTAGTCCACACAACCTGAATAATGGGACCATCTCTGGTCCTCACAAAGAGGCAAGGTTTGCACAGCCACACAGTCAGTGTTCTGAGTATTATGTACAAATTACAGTGAGCAAGGCAGTTGGGGGGAAAAAAAAAAAAACGTCACTTTTCACTGAGACGCCAAATAGTTTTCCAATTCCTGTGCAAAGATGTACTTGCTCCACGCACACATTTAAGGTGACACAAGGACAAATCACCTTGTTGCCGTCTTCTTGCTGTAAACATGAGGTATAAAATGCCTGACATTTTGGTCTGTATCCTGTGTTAGCTAATCTATTGCTACTACTCACTGCAACGTCTTTGAACCCCTGGATTTGTCCCAGCCAATCCCTGTGCCTGCCTCACCTTCTTGCTGTCTCCTAGATTACCATAGACCTGGGCTAGGTAGTACAGCGTATGTGTGTATGCCTTCTCAAATTTCTGCTGTCTCTGGTGGTCGGTCAATGTGTTTTCTTCCGCTACAAAAAGCCTGCAACAATAACAACAACTTTTACTTCACCATTTTCACTTATTGTTGGCCGGGGGACCGATATTTGGACAAAGTGGACGAGCAACGTGCTTGTCTTGTGTATCCATGTGCCTTCCATTGTCCTTGTCAGGCGATGGTGATCTACAAAAAGAAATTTGCAATGTTCCAAATTTTTTTACATATATTTATTACTCCTGCATTATAGATTTTTCCATCAGAACAAATTTCTTTTTTGAGCCAACTTGATTAGAACAGCTCCCTCAAACACATGGACTTAGGATACAAGGGCAAATATCTCCTTGGACAAAGACTGTATCATACAACTGCACGCTCCACTGATTAGAAGCACCCATTGGCTAGTATGCCGAACTCTGTGTTTATTCCCAGTCTGATGGTTCAGGGGTGTGGTTTAAGATGCCAAGACATTGCACTAATGAACACGATTGGTCACTCTCCCTGCCGTTGCTATGACACTGACCAATGATAATGATTTTACGTTTGTTGCAAAGGTAAAGGAGAGAACTTACTCGTTGATTCCATGAGGTGCAACGCCGATTTCATGCTTGTACTTTTTGTATACATTCTCTGCTTCCTACAAAACAAGCCGAAAAAGCACCATTCACAATCATTTGACAATGTGGCCTGCCAAGGGCAAACAATCAACTCTCAGAAAAGTGTAACTGTGGTAACTCTTTTTCATTTTTCTTACTTTGGAATAAAGTTTTGGAAATAACCTAACTAGATAAGAATTCTTAATGTCCTCAAATTTCATGGGATTAAACTGGTCAGGGTTCGTTTTAACCCCCTTCCAGCCAACAATGCATCCTAACAGCCAGCAAGGTAGAATTTTTATGCCTAGACGTTCTCCTCACCAGTAGTATCTCCAACGCCCTCCGTAGTTCCCTCCTTCCACTCCACAATATTCCCAGCTGGTTGAGGGTGGCTACCACCAGCCCAACTGCCCTGGTGTCTAGGGAGTACTCCTCTAGCATCTTACGGCAGGCAGTCAGGTAATCTTCCCCCGAGGAGGTTTCTTCAGTGTCCACAAAATTAACGCCCAGGTGGTAGCGAAGGCATGCAAGCAACAGATGCAGGTCTGGAAACAGAATGAACAAATTAAGTTCAAATCTACTTTCCTGGAAAGGTTTCAGCAAATTCCGAATGGACTCAAGAAGTTGGTCAATGATTACACTTCAGGATTTCCTGACTGCATTTACTTATCAGCAAGGCTGTGTAAGCATTTTCTTGGCAAGCATGCAGTTCTGGACCACAGATGTCATATAAAAAAGTCTGAATTTGCAATGCTGTTGTATTGACTGAAGACATAGGTGGCCATCTTACCATGCCGAATACAAAGGCGATCATTGCCACGCATGCCATTGCAACTACTTTTGTCTTGGGTGGTTTAATTAATAATGGTGTGCAAGCCTTTGTAGTTACTATCTTTGTACTCAGCATGATAACAGTGGCACAGTAAGATGGCAGCCGATGGCTTCAATGACCTCTAATTAAAGACATTGCAAGTCCTGATTTTTAAAAAGAGCCCTGCCCTGGTCCAAAACATTCAATTTTAATTTCCAGAGATATCTGGCTGTTCAATAACATGTATTCATTAGCCTGAAAGGAGAACAATCTCAACAAATTTGTAAACAAACTTCAAAGTCCACATTATAAACAATGCCAAAGAGTTTTAGCATGAGGGCCACGTATGTCAGGAATTGTTGGTGAAAACCCAGTTCTGGAAGTAGTTTGTCATGTGCTGGTTCCATTTTTACCCGTGTCCTCGGGAGCTTGTTGGCCAATGTGAACTCCATGGTATTTCTCCAGCTTGGCACGCAGATCTTGCAGAATCTTCCTAGCTTCATACTTAGATTTGAAGGGATTGGTCTCTGGGTCATTTTTGGAATCCTACAAAATAACAATAGAATATTCTTTTATGCCGGTGCTTTTCCATTGCCACATCTTTTCTCCTAAGTCAAAACATTCCGAGTTTCAAAACTCTGGATGACAGAATCTTTAGTGTTTAAATTTTGAAATCATACAAAAAATACAGAATTTAATAAGTCCAAAGCCATTTTAAAGTTAACTAGTAAAGCAGTGGCACACCTGAGATTTGTTGTTGGGGAAGGTTTGGACCAGAATTTATCTCCCAAAATAGCTCAGGCTGCTCAAGCTTCTCCGCCCCACCAACTGGACCAAGAGGACTAGGATGTACATGTACAACTATACCACATCTGGTGGTAAAAGACGTGGGTACAGGCCTATTTAAGTGTATCTTCACTTTTCAGCAAGTACGGGTACAAAAAATAAAAGACGAAAAAAATGCTGGTTGCATCACTATGGTAAAGTACAATTTCATCTATGTCTAGAAGACAGACACAGTTCTTGGGATAGCCCCGCCCTTCCCTACTGATCCTAATATGCTGGTGCTTGAAACCTCAGCAGCCAGCCCAAGCCCTTAACGTCAGGCCAGCACATGCTTTGTGGTGCTTAAGTTACACTACACCAGGGTGACCTGACCTGGGGGAGACGGAATTGGGTTTTCTCACAACATGCTGGGGAAATCCAACTTGAATAAGGCTATAACCTAATCATAGCTCGGAGGATTTTTTTTTCGAAGGGAAGTAAAGTTAGAACTTTCAACAAAGCGAAGGTTCCACAAGGCATGATAATTGATACGAAGACCGGTGGCATTGCTAGGATTTTACTAGTGGGGGAACACAGGGGGCACTAGCATCTTATGGGGGGGCACTAGCATCTTA